CAGACCAAGGAACTGAACAGACACTTCTCAGAAGAGGATATACAATCCATTAACAAATATATGAAAAAATGTTGAACATCTCTATCAATTAGAGAAATGCATACCAAAACTACTTAAGATTTCATCTCACCCCAGTCAGAATGGTAGCTACTATGAAGACAAACAACAATAAGTGTTGGCAAGGATGTGGGGAAAAAGGTACACTCATACACTGCTGGTGGGATTGCAAATTGGTGCAGCCAATATGGAAAGCGGTATGGAGAATTCTTGGAAAACTTAGAATGGAACCACCATTTGACCCAGCTATCCCTCTCCTAGGTCTATACCCAAAGGACTTAAAAACAGCACAATACAGGGACACAGCCCCATCAATGTTTATAGCAGCACAATTCACAATAGCTAAACTGTGGAACCAACTTATATGCCCTTCAGTAAATGAATGGATAAAGAAACTGTGGTATATATACATAATGGAATACTATTCAGCATTGAAAGAGAATAAAATCATGGCATGGAACTGGAGAATATAATGCTAAGTGAAATTAGCCAATCCCCAAAAATCAAATGTATAATGATTTCTCTGATAGAAAGATACTGATTTATAATGGGATTTGTGGGGGGATCATGGTAGGATTAGATGAACTCTAGATAGGACAAAGGGGAGGGAGATGAAGGGAGGGGGCACGGGAGTAGAAAAGATGGTGGAAATGAGATGGTAATGTCCATCTCGTTACCCTAAGTATGAAGACATGAATAGTGTGACTCTGTTTTGTGTACTAGCAGAGATCTGAAAAATCGTGCTCTATATGTACACTATGAATTGTAATGCATTCTGCTGTCATACCTAACAAATTAGAATAAAAATAAAATGGAAAAATAACTGAAAAAATATTATGCTGCCACTATGGCAGTTTCTCCTAGTTTTTTAAAAAAATCCCTTTACTCTTTAAATTACTGAATATGTTCTGTAACGCTTGTCACATATTAATGTCAGCATCAAGAAATAAGGTGACAAGTGCATTAAAACAAAAATAACACTATCATTGGCTATTAATAGCCAGCCTGTATTGGTTAGTTGACGTTATTGTCTTAAATGATATTTAATCATTTTAAATTTTGTACATTTTGTAACTCCCAAGCGCTCTAGAAATATGATAAGTAGCAAGTTCTCTTAAGAGACTTTGTCCACCCGGTGTCCCCCAGTTGGCTCTCCCTACACATCCCATATTTTTCTACACTTCATAAAATCAAATGATTGTCAGTCTGCCCCATTAGACTATCAGGCTCTTCAGGGCAGGGACCAGTTCTAACATCTTCATTATTGTGTCCCTAGAATTAAAGGGAACAAAGTAAATGCCTAATGAATAAAGGAATAAATGTGACTGAGAAGTTTAAAAAAAATAAAGTATTTCAACTCTATTGAAAAGACATAATGGAACTCTCAAAGTCTTTATAAAATAATCAGCTAGAAGACTGAATGAAAGAAAATACCCCCTGTCTGTAACAGAATCTGAAAGGATAAAACTGGCATGTAAAACTATTAAGAAGATATATATAGCATCTACAAGAAGAAATTTCCAAACACAGCGAAGGAGACGGAAGAAGACTGAACAAATGTAAAAATATATCATGTTCTCTGGCAGGATTTGAATAGGACTCCTGTTATCATGACAGAATATTCCATAATTTATAAATATAATGAGACCCAACAAAAATATTAGACCTTTTCCTTTATAAACAGATAAGCTAATTCTACTGTTAATTAGAAATAAGAACAAGAAATTCTTAAAAATGAGGGGGAAAAAATGACTCGCCAGATGGCAATATAAAGTCCAAATAACAGAAATTATATTTTTTGGGTCTTGAATAGACAGATAAATCAACATAATAGAAAAGTAAAATAAACAAATGTTGAAATAAAACAAATTGACTCAAATATAGAAACTTAACATAAACTTAACATTGTTAAGCAATCGTTAGAACAATGAGCTATTTAATATGAATTTCTGGCACAATGCATAGCTGTCTGGGTAAAAAAAAAACACTGGTTGCACACCTTACCTTTTATGCCAGGATAAAGATCAAATAGATGAAATATTACATTATAAAAAATGATGAAATCATTAGAAAGAACTAGAGAGTCTTTGTGGGTGTCTCTGAAGAGTGGGATGCCTTTTAAATCGCAACTCTAACTCCAGACTCATTAAGAACACACTGATAAATTCCATACACAAAATAATTCCACTGTTATAAAAAATCAGAGGGCAAACGATATTAAGATAGAAAATGCTTGTAATTCATAATTCGAATAACTAGTGTTTAACAGATAAAGAGAGATATAGAAATCCACTTACAAATGACCAGGAGCCCAACAGAAAAATGGGAAGAATAGAAACAAGAAACTCACAGAAAAGGAAACTGAAATAAAATGAAAAATCACAAGAATATAAAGACAGAAATACCAATTGGTCTAAAAGTATACAAAAAGGGACCCATGTGTGTCATAGTAAAGGAAATCAAATTAAGAGATACTGATTCTTGACCAGAAGTTCTTCTGTTCCCTGTGGTAGCATAACACTCAGTAACCACTGGAAAATCGGAATCACTTGAAAATAACTGTGCAAACTCAAAGTATCTCATATATATATATATATATATATATATATATATAGACTGACACAGGAGAATTGAGGCATGTACATAGTTATTCCTTGATGCATAATCATTGCAAAAGATTGCCACTATGTCTATTGGTAGGGAACTGAATACATTATCTTTATACAATGTCATACTGAGCAGCTTTTTTTAAACAGTGAAGAAAATTGTCTACTTATAGACATAATAACTGCAATATGCATTGCTAAGTAAAGAAAATTGGTTATAATTTTGTTTTCAAATGCTGTGTGTTACAAGTACAGAACATTATGTTTAGTTTACAGAATGGGGAATCGGAACTATATTCTAATTTCTTTGTTTACCTACAGAGAGGGTTGAAGTCTACACAAGAAAAAAAATGTGGTAAGTGGGAGTGGATGGAAACAGATTGAAAGAGGAGCAAGAATTTTCAATCCACACTTCTGTGCTTTTTCATTTATTTGCATCACATGAATGTGCTAGGTATTTAAAAATTAAAATTCTCGGAAAAACAAACAAAAGACCTTGGTCTACACTACCCAGCCCCTCTTGCCTTTTGCTGATTTGTGAAGCCTCCTTTTCCCCTGAAAAGTAGGGGGTGTTGTGGATGAGTGGTCCCCCAAAGTTTCATGAGCTGAAGACTTGGTCCCCTGTGTGATAGTGTTCTGGGGTGAAGCTCTGGGGAAGAGAGTGGACCATCGGGGCTCTCAACTAGTCAATGGATTAATCCATCTGATGATTCATAATTTAAGTGGAGACTGGAGGCTAGCTGAGGGTCACTGGGGGCGTGCAGGAAGGGTATGCCTTGTCCCTGATCCCTACCCCCACCCCTGCCTCCCAGCTGTCCTAAGCCCCTCCACCACACCCTTCTGCCAAGTTCTGCCAAAGCAACAAAGCTGCTGACCAGGGATGGAAACCTCTGAAACCGCTTTCTGCTTTCAAGTTGTTTTTTTCTTTTTTCTTTATTTCTTTGGGGGTGGGGAGGGGGGCTTATTTTGTCATAGCAATGCAATGCTAAGATAAAGACATAGCAATTATAAGAGATTCAAAGTAATAGATGAGAACAGCCCTTCTCCTTGAAACCTCCTTGCCTATGGCCTGGGTAACACGGTCATCTGCAGACTTGAGATGCTATGTGACGCAGTAACTTAACAATAGACCATCTCTTCCAGAAAGTCTTGTGGGCCTGTGCAGGGGGGACAGGTCACTGGGCACAGCTCTTCTTCACAAAATGAACTGAACGCTGCCTCTGGAAGGCCCTGCACACCCAGCCCCAGGCCCCCCGCAGAGGGGGGAGGTTCTGCGCTCTCCAGAGTGGCCCTGGCATGCTGGAGTGGTGGGAAGCCACCAGCTCTCCAGCAAGGTCACTACACTCTAAAGGGCAGGCTCACACCTGAGTACAGATACTGTGGCTTTCTGCAGGAGTGCGACTGTGTTTTGCTTTGCGTTTGGGGGGGTTTTGTGTTTTGCGTTTTTAGCCAAATGTGCAAGTTTTTCTTTCTTTTTTTTTTTTTTTTTAATTGTACCTTTGGTCCTTTTCTCAGGAAACAGGAAATAGTTCATATCAGTGCAGCCAGGTCACAGGAGTGTGCGGCAAACTGGATTCCACAAGTCAGTTACTTTTCAGAGTAGGACTTCTTGGACTCAATGATTTGTTAATGTGCCTTGTGAATCCCAAAGGGAAATAAATACGGGATGCTATGTTTCCAAACTTACTGTAAAACCCTGTGTCAGGGACCACTTCTCTGGATTAGTATTCTGGGTCACACATTTTGGCAGATGATGCTAAAAGGTCATTCTCCATGACCTTGTTTTTGGCCATTATTACAAAAATACTTCTCTAGAACTAAAGCAAACAAAAACTTCAAATAAGTGAAAAAGTTTAAAACACTCTACACCTACGAGAAAATGGTAAACTACTAAGCATGTATTTGACATTAGAGAGTTTTCACAAAAATATATTTTATAGAATGTTAATCCTATTTCTATTTTCATCTATTGGGATTTCCACTACCACATATAGTAAAATTATTATTTGTGAGCCTGGTCTTCCATCATTATAGAAGCTGAAGTGATTTCCAAATAATAAAGTAACTTCTGATTTTAATGTTTAGTTGTAGGATAGTCTAATGATTTACACCATCTAAGTATCAGTGCTTCTAAGGCATTCTGTTTACTAGATAATTACTAGTGCAAATATTATTCCCCATTCACTTTGAATGAATGTAAGTGAATTATGTCTGACTATAAGAATTTCAAAGTGGCTGTCTTGAGATGCTGTTGAAATACAGTCTCTAAGCTGGGAACTTTCAGGTGTGATTGTACTGGACTGAGTCACGGCAGACACTACTGGGCTATCCCTTTACCTTTACGAATCGTTGGTGTGTCGCTGTCTGCAATCAGTTGCAAGCAGTCTTGAGTAACTGAAAAGCAAAAGTTCATCATTTTAATTACTTGAGTAGGAATGACAAGGGAGCTAAGATGACTAAAAATACAAAGCGACAGACTCGGTCTCCCGGGGAGGCTAAATCAAACACACCTCTTACATGACTTGTGTGATCTTAGTCTTAAGTCACTTTATGAAATTGACCCATTTACTTTAATATCTGTGCTGGAAATTCGTGACACTTTTGCAACGCTTCATACTGTGGAGGCACAGCAAGCGTGGCATTGTGGAGTGGAATCAAAGTTGCTTTGAAATATCAGCTACATAGAAAACATACTTGGTTATTTTGTTTTTCAAGTTAGCCAAATAAATAAAACAGCTAAACTTATCAGATCAGTTTGAAACATCATTTGTTGAAACATAAAACCAACATTAAATAATAACTCACTGCTACTGGAAATACACTAAGGCTTAGCCTACTCTACATCCTTGTATCCTCCCAAGAACCCTAAAAACTAGGTATCTTAAACTAATGTTTAGAAAGTGTACATGTCTTGTTCAGGACCTCAGAGATAGAAAGTGACCAGACAAGAATTTAAGTCCTGTTTGTTTAACTTGGGAGCCAAAGTCAAGTATTTTTGGCAAAATCCTTTGGACAGAAGAGAGAAAGAGGGAACATTGTTTAAAAATAAAATGTAACGACTTTGTGACACTGAGTTGTCAGTGAGGCTTCTGGGAAATGTCAATTCACATCCCAAATCACAGGTGGACTATTTCAGATGACATTCGGAGCAGTAAATAACGACTGCCTTAAATGAAGAGAAAGGCCTTGGGTAAAGCCAAGGAAGAACAGGTTCTGTGGGTTGTATTGTGAGATAAAAGAAAACCAGTAAGTACGCATGAAAAACCTGGACCCTAACCCTAAGCTTGCAGGTTTTAATTGAAGAAAATACTCTTCAGCAAAACCTTCATATTTTATAAACACATGCTTCTCCATGTGCTTTCTACCAAGTGGATGTGATGGGGATGCCTGCCTTGGTATCAAGCTGAAAATTTCTGACATTTAAAACTCTGCATAATGGGGTTATACTTGTGTACTACTCTGAGGCTGTTAAAGGAAACTCTTAAGGGTTGATAACATTAAAAACTCTGTTTAGGAATTTCCCCCCTTATTTAAAGGTGGAAATAGAACATCCAAAATTACAACCTCCTTATACAGACATGGAACTTCTCTGACTTATTTATATGCTAATCTAATCATTTTGATTGCAGCAGAGAATTTTGATCTCCTCTGTGGATTCTTTTACTGATTTTGTGGAACAAAGGTCGCCACACCTGAGCCTTAGGGACAGTATCCTTCCTGTGGCTGACACTCCCCTATGACAGTCCTTAGAGGCATCACAATGGGCAGCAGAGTTGCCCTAAGGAAGGCTTTAATTCTCCAACTATAGTAGCTGGCTGAGAGGAAAGATTGACCTGCTCTGGGTTTCTGTGTTCTCCTCTAAAATGAATACAACAGTATTCAGCAAGTCGGCTCTGAGGGGTAAGAGGCAAACACACCTGGGAGCCTGGCACACGGGCAGCAGGTGGAACTGCTGTACAACCTGGGTTCCTCCCTCCCTCCTTCTCCACATGCTCTGGAGGACCTGCACCGGACATTTGCTCAAACAGTGGGAATCTGTCTCGAGGAAATGCTGTCTCTAACTCTTCAGAACTGCAATGTCCCCCAAAACTCATGACAAAAATGCAGCTGCCCCAAAGCAGTTTAAGAAGGAGCTGAATTACAACAGCAATATTTAAATATTAAAGCTAATATTGTCCCTCTGTGTAAAATTACCAAGAACCATTTATCTTTCAACACTATGAATTCATATTTTATTTTGCAGACATGAATAGGTATTTAAAAAGAAGTTGAAAGTACAAAGAAGCATCGAACTTTATAACAATATCTTAATGTTTTCACTTTTCAATGTATTTGCCATTTTCTAGTGTTACAATTTACTCAACAATTATATATGGCTTATTTTCCTCTATCTCCAACTCACTGCAATATAAGAATCTGTGAGAGACTCAAGGTCACATTTGGCTGCACTGATGGGCTTGTTTCCTGGATCTTCCCTTTCCCCAAACTTTAGGCTTAACAAGAACAGGGTTCAAAGGTTTGGTTATCAGGTCGCTCCTTTAAACACTACTTTGGAAATTGAACAGAAGCCAACTCTTGCAACACTGAAAAGAAAAAAAAAAAAGTCTCACTATTGAAGAGGAGAAAAGAAAAATTTCACTTAGGAAAGACTGCGGTCAAACATTGCCTGAGAGCAGCCAGCGGTTCTAGGAAGAGCGCGTCCTTGCTGGGTAAGAGGCTCCAACTGGACTGATTTTGCCAAGTTAGCAATGGACTTCTGCATTTCATACTTTAAACCCTCAGACCTGCCTCACAAGTCACAATTCAGCCAGAAATACCAGTAAAACAAGAAATACCGCAGACCTGCCAGGTAGCTCACCTTCCCTTGTGAATGAGTGGGACTAGGAGTTCAAGAAAGGAGACTCAAAAATAGCACTGATATCTTCACTTTTCACAATTAAAAAAGCTGATCTGAGAGAAATGCTTATGTTACAATATTAGGTGTTCATTATGTGCACTATACTTGAAATTCTCACCTTAAAAAATGTTAACTGTAAAGTAGTATCCTTGATTCACCCTGAAACATTAAAAAAAGAAATCCATCCATGATGAATCCCAAAATCCAAAAAAGAAGGCCTTGAGTTTGGTTAGCAGTGGAGTCCCATGTTGGTGCCTTCCTTGTGCCATGGGGCCACGCTCATGGAAGCTGTAATGCTAGGGGAAGGTGGATGCAGGTACGCCCACTCTGTAATGTTCATGCAACGTTTCTGTAACTTGAAAATAACTGATCTAAGGTAAATATGGGGAAAAATAAATTTGGCTATCTTCCAAATAATTTTTGTAAAATTTTGAAATAGGGGCAATCTTTTCACTTCTATTTCTTTGTATTATTCTTGTTATCTCAATTGTAACAGTAAAACGTTGAAGAAAACTATAAAAATGATAGACAAAATTATTTTTGTTTTATTTTATCTAAAATGCACATATTTTCAATAGTTCTTAAATTTTCTATTGAATAATGAGGGAGGAAATGCAAACGTTACTTGCAACATTACTGAGCAATAACTGTTATTGTTCAGTAGCAACTTATTTGAAAGAATTCACTTTCTTGATGAAGTCTGAAGATGCTTATCCTTAGGATCCTAAAATGAAAATTGCCCTTAGGTGAGTTTTTAAAACCCAGATTATCAAAACTCCATTTGTACAGAAATTGTATTATATAACATTTCTGAAGCCAATTTCTTTAATTTTTTTTTTTTTTGAATTGGGAATATCTCCAAATACATTTATGGGCTTAACAGTGATTGGCTAAGATGAGCTACTTGGACTTTTTTTTTTTTAATCCTGGATTTCCCCGCATTTCTGTTTGTTATACTATAATCAGAATGATCTTTTGAAGCACATTAAGCTTAATAAAACTTTAATATGGAACACACAATAATTAAGAAACAAAATTCAAGCCAAAATGCTAAGCTTTCCAATTAAGTAAAAGCAGCAACTGTCCTTGGGAGGACCGGGAGGATGGGCCTGGGCTAACCATCACATCCACACCTACTGTTTCATAAACTTCAATAGAAATGTCAGTGGTTCTGAAAAAACATGGGGACAGTTGATAAACCAGGATAAGTGAACCCTCTGAAAGCCAAAAGGACAGCCCACACTTAGTCCTAAAGAAACCAGAACAACTGGAGTGGAGACAAAATCAAAAAGAAGCACAGATTTAAGCTTCATGCATCTTCTCAATTCCAAACCAAGACCTTTCTGAACAAACAACAGAAAGTCCTTGTATTGCAGCCATTTCTCTTGGGCACAGAGACATTGATTCTGAACTGGTACTTCCTCTGAAAAAGCTTACTATGTGGAACAATGCAGGTGAAGTGCTCTGACAAGTGACAGCAGCTTTCACCTGTCCCTGAGAGTCTTGCCCTCAAACCCTCCACCTTGGTTCTATGAATGTTACAAAAAGTCTAAGGTAAATCATGGTAATAGTGATGGTGACTGCATTTGGGCTGCAGAAATGGGGGTCAATTTTTGGTTCACTTTGTTAGAGTCTTCTCTTATTCTCCAAACTTGCTACAAATTGCAAGTTATTCGGGGGTGGGGGAGCCCAAAACAAAAAACCAATACCACAACACTTTTAAACCTACAATTTGGGGATGACAAAAAACCAGAAATATGTAAAAATATGCAAATAGAAGGAAATCTTAAAATCTAATATATCTTGGCAAAGTGTGACTCAGGAAGCTATTTTTAAATCTATTATTCTTAAATATGTAGAAATGAGTATGTCCTCTTTAGAATGATAAATTTAGAAGCAGTGGAATGGTAGCAGAGAAGATTAAAATGATTGAAGAATCCTGACCTTACTAGATATTGAAGCCCATTATAATACAAAATTACTCAACATGGTTTATTTATAGCAGATAAATAGAATAATAAATCAATGATAAAAAGACTCAAAGTTTCAATTATATGAGGAACTGAACACAATCCAGTAACTTTCCCAACACAAAGGAGTTAAATATAAACATCCACTACATTGGGATAAGGTAGCAGTCTGGAAGAGAAAAGGGGAGAGAGGAGGAAGTAAATGCCAGCATGAGATGATTCACCAAAAGAAATGCCAGAAGGATTAATGTGTTAAAGCCAAAAAACCAAAACAAAACACTAAACTATGAACAAGTCCAAAGTAGCAGGAAATAGAGCAAAACAAGAGATTATGAACACATACACATTTAGCTTACTTAGATTTTAGAGAAAATCAAAAGAACAGATGACCTCATTAACACAATCTCATACGTATGTTAAAAGAGCAGCAAAATTATGTGAAAATATTTACATCACAGTTTTGATCAATAATGTCTCATTAGAAAGAGTTTATATTAAATCATAAAATATTAGGGTGGTTGGAAATTAGAATTAAAAATTAGCAAAAGATCTAGTTAGAAGTAATCAAAATATACAGAATGATATTCATTATTATTATAAATAAGCAACACATTAAAGTAAATTTGAGATTCTATGTTACAATTACTAAATTAGCCAAAATAAATATTTAAAGACAAAATGCTAGCAATAACGTGGAAAACTGGTACAGTACATTTTTGTATGCATACACTTATAACTCATTTTGGAAATGCTATGACAATAAGTAGCATGCCCAGTCTGTTGAGCTCAGAAATTCACATTGCAAGATTCATATTGAATATATAATTCCTCAGAAATGAAAGATGTGCACAAAATTTTACATGTTCTATTATAGCAAAAGAAAATGGTCATATTAAAATTATACAACTTAATACAGATGTGAGAATGACTAGAAATAGCTTAAATGCTTGTGAAGGTGAAAAAAATCTATCATAGCATTACATGCTCTTATTTTATGTAGAAAGTATAGATGATAAATACAAAATACAAAAATAAGATGTTAAAACAATGAGTTTCCTAGTTTAAAAAAAAGTTTAAAGCAATTGTTAAATAGCCCAAAGATATGCTAAGCAGATACAAAAAAGGATTATCTGAGATGAGGAAGAATTTTCAGTAAACATGGCACTTGGTTAAAAACTGTTTCCCGTCAGCACTCGGCATGTGCGCAGGACACCTGTTCCCCTCTCCGGGGTCACAGGCTTCTCTTCTGAAGTAAAGTGCACACACAGGGGGACAGTGCTCTGTGACCCCTAGACAGCTGCTCTGAAGGTGACGTGAAATCAGGTGAAAAGCCTATCCAGGGCCACACCTGCCTGGCACCTTCCAGGTGTTCAAATATGTTCCCTCGACACAGCAGGGAAGCAATGCACAGATCCGTGAAACCGTCATGCGGATCAACCCAATGCCAACACTTCCTACCATCTTGGAAATGAAGAAACTGGAATAGACCACCTTGACGGTCTACTTCAACTCTGTAAAAAGCTCAAGGGTACCAGAGGACCTTAGCGTGGCAGAAGTGACGAAAGAGACGTGATCACACACGCCTGGCTCTGCTGAGGAAGTCTCGGTGGAGGACAATCTTTAAATCCGCGTGTGCGTGTGCGTGTGTGTGCGGGTACAAAATCGTCCTTAAAGGAAACAGGAAAAAGCACTCACATCCCGGGGTGCCCAGTGAGCCCCTCCCTGGGGCTCCTGCATACAACACCAGGGACTCTGGGAGATGCAGGTAGCGGGTCTACCTCTGCGGTAACGAGGTGCTCTGTCGCTGTGCTTCCGCAGGGATGGAGGGCACCACGCACTGGAGGAGAAACCTGCCTCCCCTTGGCCTCACGCGTGCTCGCCACGCAGTGCAGAGAAGTAGCGCCCAGGAAGGATGCTTCTACCCGCACAGCCCCCTGCGAGGACCCGCGGGCTGTGCCGCTGAGGCAGCCCCGGGCGCTGGCGCTCTGCCCCCAGCCCTCTGGCTTAGATGGCAAAGTTCTAGTCTGTACTTTGGAGGTTTAGAGAGGCTATGCGCACCTGTAGCTCTGCAGGTGGGACGCTTTCTCCGCACCTGTGTGCACGCAGCCCCGCCCACCACCTACCTGTTTCCTGGGACCCCTCAAGCGCACGCCGGTTCCTGCTGCCGGGGCTAGAGTGGCTTTCCCCCAGAGCGGCTGCGGCAAAGATGCCCTGTGAACAGAGAAGGGAGGTTATTGGCCGGGCGGCTGTGCGGGGCTGGGGGCGGCGGGGCTGGGGGCTGCGGGCTGCGGTGCGGGCGCCGGACTCACTTTCAGTCCTGCTGGGGCCGCGGGAGCCGCGGCTCGGGCCTGGGTCGGGGTGGGCATTGGTGCGCCGTGGCCCTGCAGTTCTGCGCGGAGGCTTTCCAGGTCCGCTTGCAGGGTGGCCACGCGGTAGAAAGAGATAAGCGTGAGGCCACTGGAAAGTAGGGCCAGCAGCAAGGTCACGGCCAGCAGCTTTGCATCTCTGGAGAATCGGACCGAGGGGCTTTCCTTCTGTGGGAGGATGGGAACACACTCTAGTTTCATTTCTCCCCCTTTCTTGAGGCAAGAAGAAAGGCGTGCCTGCTCCCACTCCGTGGAGTCATCCATTCCCGACTTGCACTTTGAAGGCTGGGGCCTTTACAATGAGTGACCGCAGAGGACGGATCATTTCCTGTTATCTGTGCGCCTCGAGGTCCCGCATTGACTGTGAGGCAGCCCCGGGCTCTCCCCCTCCGGAGCGCTCTCCTGCTTTTCTTCTTTCTCCCCTTGTGCATCTTTGCCCCTCCTGGGCCTTGGCTTTACTGGCGTTTGCCCTTCTGCGGATTGCTCAATCTGTCTTCCTCATTTCACTTTCAGTTTTTGTAAGAATTTTAATGCCAATTCAAAGGACTCATGCCTCAAGGAGATGCGAGGCCCCTCACGCCCGCTGAGGAGACGGTTTAAGCTGGTGCTCTGGAAGAGAAGGCTTAAGACAAATTTAAGGAGATTCGCCCCCAAGCTTTAGGGGAGAATGGGGTCTACTTGGAAGCACATGGCTTCTAGGGAAAGGGAAAGGGAACATTGAAAGCTCCCGCTGGTGTTATGACAACTATTGGAAGGTCGGATAAGCCAAGTGCTTTAGCACTGAGTTGTGTTTAGCTAGAGGGTGATTTATGAACAGTCCCCAAGGAGGAGACAAATGGCAAATCCTTAAAGGAGGCTTGGAAGTCCACTGGGGATTGTTCTTGTTATCTTAACAATGCAATAAGAAGAATGTGATGCAGCTTCTAAATAATTGAGTAGATAAGGGGACTTCTTTAAACATTGGGGATACATTCAGGGAAAGATGCATCATCTGTTTCCTTGCCAGGCGGGCTGCTAGTGAGCCAACTGCACCTCCCCCTTGCCACTGGGACTTCTGAAGCCTTGGTCCCTGCTCACTGTGAGGTTCCCTGGAGGAGTCTTGGCCTTATCTCCAGCTCCAAACTCCTCATTCCCACTTGACCCCGTCTGTCCAAAAGCTACCGACATACAAGGTCCTGAATCAACCCAATCACTTCATCTGGAAGTGAGGGTGGTGCACTGCAGGGAATGTTCACTCATCTGGATCCTGTCCTGTCTTGATGGCTGATTCCTGCACCAGCACCAGTTCCTGACTGCTTTGCCCCAGCATCCAAATGTTGATTCATCTTGCAACAAAGTTAGGGAGGACTTAGCACGCCTGGGTGGGCACTACTCCATGTGCTGGGGGTACTGGGCAGTAGCTTTGTCTCACAGCCCCCTCTCCTTACAGCCTTAATAAGGTTACAGAAGTGATACAGCATAAAGGCAAGTACCTCAAGCTTCCAGGATTCTAATCTTGCTTCCACCCTTTGCCCGCCTTAAGCAATTCATTGAAGGTCTGTGAAATTTAATTTCCTCCTCTGTGAAATGGGGTGATAACAGGAACTGTGCCCGAGGTGCAGAACAAGGCTTACAGGAAGGTGCTAACAAACTACATTTTGAAAACTACTGTTTTTTCCATTCACTATCCTTTGTTTATATTCAAAGGATGAATCAAATATTCTCACTATTATTGTGGTGCAAGAAGTACTTTTGTTCAATTGCCCCTGTAACATCTGTAGGAATGTATCCAGCAAACACTTCACTTTCACCAGGTGACACCAAGTACCCTCTGATAAGTTCCCATTTCCTATTGTCTTTCCAATGAGTTGAGGTCATCAAGCTATCCCTTTTTTCCTCTGCTTTTTTAAAAATGACTTGTCTATAAAACCCACAGTGACAAGTCTATAAAACCCACTCAACAGGCAGACACAAAGTGGCCTGAATCAAGCCAGAGTCACTTGGTCAGGGTGTGGTGGACTTGGCGTGCTGCAGGGCATGCCTCAGCCCTTCCAGTCCTATCTGATCTTGACCGCTCATCCTAGACCAGCACCAACTTCCCTTCCCCCAAGCAAGCTGCTCTCTGCCTCTGCTTTCTCAGGTGGGAGTCTTGTTCTATAGGTTCACATGCAGGGTCTGTGGTGTCAAACATCACACTACACAGTTCTTCTGTCAGGGTCCTTGCTGCAGGTGGATCAGGGTGAGGCATCCTGGACAAACTTGCAATGACAAATGGGGTTAGTTGGGGAGGTCCAAAGCCCTCCAGGCTGGCAGTGAACAGACAGAACTCATTCGGTGTGTGGTAATATTCCCTAAATACACACAGAAATCCTTGTTCCAGTTGATCCTTACTTTCATGAGGACACCCTGGAGACCTCATTCCCCTGGGATTTAATGTTACTTCTGATGAGCCTCCTCTCCGTGTGCTTGGGTCAAAGCTGTTAAGCGGAATGACCCAGCTGCTTTAGAGAATGGCCTCTGCCTTCGCTGCTCTACAGGGCAGTGACCTTCATGCTGACCTCTGCAAGACAGAGTCCCTGGTCAGCCTATGTTCAGGTCATTCTGAAACAAGCATCTGCTGGTTGTTTGATGCCAAGGGTGACACTGTGCACAGAGGGGCTACTACTCCTTCCAGGGAAGGGGGCCAGCAGCCCCTATGACCCAGATGGGCAAGCAGGCATTGCTGTCTGCATGCCCTTCTTAGGGTTCACACAACTAGATTTTCTCCAAAGACAGTTAGAAATCTAAATGGCATCTATGGCTCTATGACTTCTTATGAACAAAAGGAAGTTATTTCTCCATAAATCAAAGACCTGTTTCCTGTAGAGGAAATGGTTTGATAATTTAACCGAAATTCTGTTAAACAAAGAGCACATTTGTATTCATTGAACAACACAGCACAGTCTATCCAGGGAGGAAAGCCACCGTACCCGAGCCACGGAACTTGGTCGAGTGTCCACTGTCAGCATCCAGACACTTTCCCTATGTAATGTGGGCGATATATTCCATGTAACAAACACCATGATTGAGATACCGTGGCCTGGGATTGTCCAAATTGTCCCCTGCACTCAGGATGGGCAGGTAGGGTTGAAAAAAATGAGTTATCAGTTTAACCAAGGGGCAGAACCACAGGACAAAATACACATTCAGTCTTTGATAACTTGCTATTTTTATATTGGCTGCTTCAAAAATATTCAAAAAGCTGAATTATAAGTTTCTGGTTAAGAAAACTATTTAGAATTATAAAGTTCACCAGATGTCGTCTTTTCCGCTCTGAGGAGAAGGCATTTCATGAGGACCAGCATGGTGGTCACAGCAAGCGTGGTGACCACAGCTCTTCCAGATGTGAGGATGGCCTGAAAATACAGCTCAGCTGCTGGCTGAAAGGGCTCAGGCACAGAAAATGATCCCATACAAATGACTGTATAATCCAGAACAAAAAATCATTTTTTTGCAGTCAGTGACTCTTATAGTTTTAGCTAAAGTTGACTTTAACCATGAAGTGGTGGTGTGTGGGTTATTTATGGAGGTGACTCCAGACATTTCTTTTACAAAAGGGTGATGTGGTTGGGATGCTCATACCCATTTCCTGAGTTTTTTTCTATAAAAAGGAGCATGCATACACTAATTAGGGCTGAATTTTTGTCACTTCTGGGAAAATAATCTACTTTTCTAAGAACTTGAACCCAAGAGTTGGATCTTTCGGGTCTCTGGGTTAAGCCCACCTTCTCTTTGTTGTGCAATTGCTTTTAGATTTAATGCCCATGAATCAGTGTGTTATAAAGAAATTTGTTTATTTCAACACTATTTTCAATTAGAGTATAATTTAATCTGTCATTCTTGACCATAAAGACAAGAGTGTTTTTGCTGATAATGAATGTTAGTTGATGTGAGAACATTGAGGAATGAATTTTTCTTTTTTCCACACGCAGACACACTGCATATTGACACACATAGGCAAGTACACATATGATCATTTCAAAAACTTTGGGAGAAACGATAAATCAGTTCTACCCATGCAGGAAAGATCATTTATGAAACTTATGTGATGTCCTCTGCTTTTAAAAATTAATAAAATAGATATTTTATTTGAAATTTTGCTTATTAAATGTTAGACATGAAAGGAGGGATGAGGAGTCACGGACTCTGAGGGCAGAAATGGCCACATTTCCAGTGATGTTTTATCATCTTATCAGACGTGTCCTGAGCCCAAATCCAGAGACTGACTTTGTTCAGATGTACATCTTTGCAAGATGCCGACACGATCCTACAAAGGGGAATCCTCATCCACTCTATCCACATCACCACCGATTGCCAAGCCCGAAGGATGAGCTTATTTGTTGCTATACCCCTCATGTTTTATGAAGAAGCACGAGAAAGAGATACTCAGTCCACTGGACATGCACGTCTGCATGTCACTTCCTAGCCCTGCAGAGGCCATTCTGCAGCTGCTGTGATGACCAGGCTGAGGCCAGGAGGGCAGGATCCTGGAAGCATCTCCTCTGCTGCTGAATCCATCTACTTTTTGTGTCCCACATAGGGTCCCATTTTTTCCTTGTTGCTTCAGCCAACATGACGCAAGATTAGACAGTAATGCATCCAAAGATATCCCAACTGATTCTGCTAGTTCAAGAATTGTATTTCTAATACCAAAGAACTTTGCATAACATAATTTTGTATGTTCTTTCAGAATTTTTCCAGATGTCCACGTTTTTAAAAGTGCAATATGGAGATAAAGGTCAGGATCCGTAGCTAGAAAAAACTATTTTTTTTAAAGAAAAGTCTTATTTCCAGTTCTACCATAAAGTTATTGAATTATTTCACAATGTTAGGAAACATAAGAAAACAATGTCTTTTAAACTGCTATTATGTGAAGAGCTCTTTGATCAATCTGTCTTTTCTGCATAGAACCAGAATGTACCTACTTGCCCCTCTCAGGAGGGAGGATACCAAACCAGAACTGTGGGGCTCCATGGAAGAACAAGAGAGTCTCAAACTAAAGAGAAACCAGGGAGGACCCGCAGTTTGAGGAAACACAACAGGAATGTGCAGGAGAATGCTTTGTTCTTCTCCTCCAGTGTCAAGTTGGCTCTCTTCTGAGCTGAGGGCAGCTGGATGTCAGGGAGGCCTTTGGCTGTCATTGGTTCTAGGTGGAGAAAAATGATGAGTTTTTTCCTCCACTATAAAAATTTACAAGACTTATTTCTGAGATCAGAGTCTTTGCTGCTCATTCTATCAAAAATCCGCAATCTGTGGACCACCATCAGCCTCACATGAATGTGCCACTCCCTGGAGCCTCCAAGACTGGAGAATGAAATGCTTGGGGCTAGTCCTCCCTGTCCCTCCAGGGCTAAGAGACCTTGGGAGGGGCTCCCAGGAAACAAAAGCCACCATCAGGGGACCAGAAGTTTCCCTGCTGGCTGAAGGCTGACTCCCATGTTGAGGACTTGAATTCCTACACCCGAGCCTGGACTGCACCACTGAGCAGAGGCTTGTGAGACCCAGCCTCCTAGGAGGAGAGCTTTGAACAAGCAACATGTGACAAAGTCAACCCGCTTTCTCAGGACTTGAAGTTGCAGGTGCAGGACAATTTTAGGAGCTAAATAATTGTCCAATTAAATGGTTTAATAACTGAAAACATGAAAGAATGAGTGAAATTAAAACCTCAAATAGCAGAATGTTTTACACTTGACACGCAAAACACAGGAAATGTAAAAGGAGGTGGCATGGATTAGAGAGGCCACGCCATGCCACCCAGTCTTGTAGGGGAAAGCCTCTGGATCCATGAAAGGCCTGCAAGTGCAGTTTGAAAGTGCTCTCGCAGGCCCAGGGTGGAGCCCAGGCAGGGCTAGGTGAGACCCCAACGGAGCAAGATCTGTCACATACGCGGCAAATAAAGCATATCAAAACTTGTGAAGTGCATCTACAGCTTTCTTAT